TTACCATCAGTTCGCCGAACTGCTACTGCTACTACTCAGAAAGCCTGTTTCAATTAAGAAACGCAAAAACAGGATAAGTCCACAAGACAATGGATCTTCCTCAACCAGCAAAAACCCCACTCCAGAATAATTATTTCAGAATTCCAATTAGGACATGATGAGGATCTGAATGATACTCGTATAGGTGAGCTTTTCACTCCTTCGCTGAGCTTTAATTTACATGCGCATTACGCAGTATTTTCAATAAAATGCAGGCCTATCACTCATCAATAATACGAAATTATCAGCAGATCTATGTGTTGGATTCTGCCACATCTTCCGTGATGTTGCAAGAAGATATACAAGTATAAAATATTTTGAATAATGATGGAGAAATCGAAAAATTAAGTTTTTGTGAGAAATGATGATGATTTCCTTTTCGGATAAAATGTTGCGGAACTGCAACCAATTGAAGAGATAATCCCTTTTATATCATTTCACATGATGTTAAATTTTGAGCTGCGAACATTCGCAAAAAAAACCGGCGAGAGGAAAAATTTTGACAATTCGTAAACTCAAGCAGTGTGCCTTTTATCTGAGCATACTAAGGGGCATTGGGAAATTGACCCTGAAGTCTGCCAGCACTTCAATGACTTCCTCTTGCTCTCCAGCTTCTAACAATAAGCTCGTTGATAATTTCGAAATAAAAATCAGACAGCTGAGATATTTTTCTGAACGACGGGAAATTTGATGACATCATTCCTGCCAATAGTGTTGGGTACCAAAGTGACGCAGCTCCAGCATCCGGCTACAAACCAGACAAGAAAACTTGTTAAATTTTGGAGGCCAGTGATCCTGCAAAAATCCCTTTTTGGGAGACTGTATCACTGAGCCTCACTCAAGGACCAGAAGTGGTCATCATCACTTCTTTGATTTTCCTGAAATTGGCCAATGCTGAGCCAGGAAGAAATCACCTGATTTCTTTCAGAACCAGTCCAAGCACCTGGGTATAAATACCTTCATTCCTCTTTGAGAGAAGTCAGAATCTAGTGTTATAGGGCCTATTAAGTTGTATTACCTCATTCTGAGCTAGCCAACCAATCTTACAATTAACTCTGCCATTACAACCATTCAATTAACAGCCAATTGATGATCTGGGCAATGAGAATGAACTCCTCTGAAAAGAGTTTGATTTCTTATTCAAAACTTGCATTCTGATGGCTGCACAATTCAATTCCTTNACTTGCATTCTGATGGCTGCACAATTCAATTCCTTTGTCTGGGATCCAATGGACCCATGACAGATAGGAATAGCGTGCCTCTGTTTGGCATTGAATAGAATGAAAATGAGACTCAAGCAGCACTTATTCTCAATAAAAATTTTCAGGACTGAGACACATAGAGAGAGATATATATATTGTATGTACATGATGTACAGTACACCTAGGCCTCATCATCTGCACAATTTGACTTAAGAAGGCACTTTCAACCAGAAGAAGAGTATACCAAAACATCTGGACAGGACATCAAGTATATAGACACATTCTTTGCAAATAGCAGGCAGTATTTCTCAGAAGACCAAATGTAATGGTGGCTTGAAAAAATGTAGAGGGTAAAAAAAAAGGACAGCAAAACACACACGCAGGCAGAGTTTGAAGGAGGCATTTCCAAATCCTTTCAAGAGTTGACACTTTTCCCGTTACCTGGGAAAACAGTTTCTGTTGATTTCTATATTAGCTCAAAAATCACTGACAGTCTTTTTATTTTCAGTAGAGTTTATATAGAGTTCTGCTCCTCAATGCATCCCTATAGTGGGACTGAATCTTTTAAAGCTGCATTTTGGAAAAAATTTAGTAGATTAAAAAATTAATCTTGTCACGAATCTCGTCAGAACGAATTCCCAGAAGTTTCTTACTTCCCTCACGGAGGAAATGTAATAAAATAGTTTTTATAACAAACTAATTTTTCCTCCATAATCTGATGAGTGTTAATAATAAAAAGAAGGCTTCTCAAGAACCAGAAACACAGAGCAAGAAATACTCTTTCAAAAATATTCTGCACACTTCTTAAGCACAGATTAATGACCTCAGACAGAACAAAAGGCATACAAAAGAAAATGATAAAAGAAAACTGCACATTGTTTTGCTGATTAGATCAGTATTTCTTTGATGCTTCTGCACCAAAATAAAATATAAAATTAACTGGAGCAAGAGACGGAAAAAGCCATGGTAGCCAATGCATTAATTAAATTCAAAACATTCACCAACAACCAAAAAATTTTTCATTGTTGATATGTCTTGGAAAAAAGCATAGCTATTTCTATGAGCATGAATTGAAAAAATGAGTTATTGTACATATTATAGTACTGTAATCTAACTTTTCCAATGCATGATCATTTTGTTTGCTTTTCAGGGTTTATTTATTCCATTAACTTTGTACTGCAGTATCATAGTGTGCTAGCTTTTTGCATTTCAGATTCCTTTAATTGCCAAACGAGCAGATTCTGTGTACAGTAGTTTTCTACTGCTGCATGTCACTTATTTTCTGTGTTTTAAACTTAAGAAACACATTTTCCTTGAATGTGCGGTAGGTTTTTTTTTTTTTGCCTAATCATGAGAAGGACATTCAAGATGTTCCCATTGCTGGATTATGCAACTTATATGTGGAAAAATGTGATCTGATATGTATATTATATACAGTATGCAGAAGCATGTGGACGACACAACGGTCTGAGAAGTAATTATTTCTGCACTGTATAAGTACCATGGGAAATACAGTAACCGGAAAAGTGATACAGTTCCCCAGGAAAAAAGTGTAAAATTTTTAGTACATACGTTTTATTTCGCAAGGTACACGAAAAGGTAACGCAAAACCAACCAGCATCATGTACGGTATCAATGATCTTAAAAACGGAAAGGCTTATCATCTCATGCTGGTCTCTCTTCCATGCAGCATTAATTGGCTGCGTTTTAATAACATAAAAATGGATTAATTAAAGTGACCCGACGATGGGCTTTCTTTCACAGCAACAGCAGCAGCAGGTCAACGATCCGTAAGTATGTCGGGCGGATCGACTTTCATTACCTCAGTGTCTGTACTCTGGTCCTGATACAAACTGAAGATATCCTCAAAAATATGAAGGAAGTACCGACAAGAAAATATATAATACGGGTGGATGAGAAACTCAATAAAACACATACAGTGGAATCTCTTTTCAAAATAATTCCAGCAAAGATGGAACTTACTCATAACAAGATCCATACATGCTTCTTTCAGTATACTGAGGACTGAAAACTCGTGGGAAACAGGTAATGCAGTAGATGCTTTGAAGTACCTGCACTTCCAAAACAGACATGTGAAGAATTGCCATCATTTGTATGTTGCAGAAGTAAATTCATTCATGCTATAAAGGAAATAGGTTTTTGAAGTCACTGCTTATGCCAGAAGCTTGTGCACCAGTGAGATGAACATTTTGGGAGAGGGTTTTCCAGATTCTTATTGCTGAAGAAAAAGGTAGGTTTTGGAAAAGTGAGAATATCTCAAGATCTGTCAGTTATGGATCAATTTTTACATGATCAAAGAAAAGTTATGAAACATCTTCACTTCAGTCTAAGACTGTGTTCATTTTTCTAAGTCTAAAACTGGCAGAGTTATGTTTTTTTGTTGTACATCAGGAATTGCACAATACACAAAGCATTTTTTTTGTTTGGTGCTTTTATTTGTTTGAGAAGAAAGTGTATGTTTTACCAGCAACATTTTATTTGCTGATTGACTGTGTGATTTTTTCTTTTGAGAAACCCGTGATGAGACAATAACAGTCCTCTTATAACATCCAAGGAGTGAGGATGCTCCAGATTTATTTATTCTTTATGCCTTTAATGTATTGTATAGTCTCTGTACTTCAAATTAAAATTGCTTCGGAGGCTGTGTAATAGCCTCAGTTTTCAGATTTGTCTTGCATCTGGATGCATTTTTAGTAGCTTAAAATATGAAGTATTTATACGCTTATGTAGATGAAATAGTAGAGAAATTCAAAAGATAAAATAAAATTATCTTATTTCAGACATTCTTTTAACCCTTTCGGATGGCGGTGGGTTGAATTCCATCCTACAGTGGTACTGGGAAATTGATGCACACTTGGGCATTTTCAGTTTGCCCAATGGTCACCAAAACAAAGAGATGACTGAGCAGTCAAAGTCTGGGAAAATCCAGGGAAGATAACCCAGTGTGTCAGACATTCATCAATTCCATAATCCTATGAAAAGAATGTGAAAAAATGGCACACAGCAGCCAATGTTTAGAAACATTGCTCAGCCACAAAAGATAATCAGGACTTTTCCAAATTTAATCCCTCTTGATTATCCATGCTTTTTCCTTTTTGTATGCTCTAACTGTGATACAAAATTTTGCAAATACTTTACTGTAAATCCTAGAATCACTGCCCAAGGGCTGATATCTTTAAATTTTCTAAAAATACGCTGCATGAAATTTACCAGATTAAAATGGGCTGCAACAAGAAGACACATTTTCAAGAGCATTTCTTTATTGAGAACTGTATATAACCTTAAATCAAGCAATATTTTCCCAACATGTTTTCATTTGAATTTAAATAGCCATTTATAAATTCTAAAATGAAGCTGAATACTTTCTGATGAAAGCTTTATACTTTCTGGAGTGCTGCAGCTTCTGTGCAGCAAGAAAAAGACTGGCATTTATATTTTCGAAACTTTTCAATTGTCCACAAGTTATTGGGGCTTCCATTATATAGTGTGCCAATTATTAACACCTGCAATGTTCCATAACAAATGACCTATGCAAAAATGTATTACACTCATCAGATTATGGAGGAAAAATTAGTTTGTTATAAAAACTATTTTATTACATTTCCTCCGTGAGGGAAGTAAGAAACTTCTGGGAATTCGTTCTGACGAGATTCGTGACGAGTTTACTGCATGCTGAAAAAACCAATCTGAAAAATTTCGGACGTTCAACGCATTTTTTCGACTATTCCTTATATTCTTTCTTCTTCTTTTTATTACTTTCAGATCTTGGTGGTGCTTTCCATGATGGCATACTGGGCATTTACTGCTTACGGAGTCACCCTGTTGCAGGAAGGAGCAAGCACTGCTGGAATGGTTGCGGATTCTTCAGATTACGCCACATTTTTCCACAAGGAAAGCCACGATTTCATGGACTTCGCGGTCAGAGTTCCGGTGAGAATAACCCATCGCTGCTGTCTTCATTCCTTTTGCGCATAAATCCAGCCAAAGCTGATGTTTCCCCTTTTCAAACATGCCTCGAACAATGCGTCATTTACCTTTCGGCGCATCGAACTATTGCATCACACTGCCAAAAATATTTCTTTCTCATCCTCTTCAGCCTTTCTATAACTTTCCGCACCGGAACCGTACGAGAATTATTAAAGTTGTGCAAGATACCTAATTTCAGAGAAAGGAAGAAAAACGCGGAAGTTTCACTTCGCAAAGATTTTAATTTGAAGAGGCTCTTTGCTGGAGAGTTTTGCAACATATTTTCTTGTAAAATCCGTGTAATAGTCGCGTTCTCCAAGAGAGATTATATGGCAGAGAAATGTGCGACCTGAAAGACAAGCATGAGAATTGGACCCCAAGATGTGGACGTAATTGATGCTTGGACTTTGTCCCTATGTCGGAATGTCTATACATGTTGAATCGCATTTTCTGATCAACTTCAACGGGAAGATATCCAATTGATTTTCAGCTGTTTCTAAAAAATTTAGAAGAAGGTCCCGAAAATGAATTCATTTTCTCTCAAGTTCAAGATATACAGAAAATGCAGTGCGTCTTTTATTCCGGGACACAGTTTCCCCCCGAAATTCCTAACTTACACAACAATCAATGAGGTGTGTCGCATTATGAATGATCATTTGAATCTCGATGAGCTAGTGACGGCGGGCACACTTCTATATTTTTCCTGCTATCATTTTTTGATCATCATTGAATAACAAACTGGCAGATTTGCATCTGCGCACGTTTGACCATTTGGGAACAGGTGTATACAGAAAAACTCCAATCATCATGTCTCAATCCACAAGCAGTTGATGGTAACCGCAATTCTGATGTACGCGTAAATCAGTACTTGATTGTTTTCTGCTGATAAGTTTTATCGCGCAGAGAAGATGAGGTATAGAATTCCCTCCACAAGATGCTCAACTCAAACATTATATAGATCTCGGTTCTTCATTTATCTTTTCTTTTATATACATTCCTTATTGTTCCCTCTCATGATTGGAATAAGAACAGAAGTTCACAATTCGCTTTCTGTAGCACTCATGATGCTCTTGAAAATAACTTGAGAGGCATAATAATAAGTGCGTTCGTTCCATTTTATACATAAATATACCAACAAAAAGAAGAAATGGTGGATAGAAAGATAGAAAACATTATTGTGCTTGTATGTATTCAGTGTTCACAACTTCTAATTCAAAGAAGAACAAAGAGAAAGGTGGAATTTTCGCATGCAGCAGAGTTCAACATTTTCTCAGTCAGCAACTTTGGTTTCAATAAGACAGCACATACTTATTATTTTGGATTATTCTCCATCAGCTAGCATTTGACTGTCTCATTGTCGGACAAAATATTCATGAAATTATATTGTAATCCTCATCATCATACTGCATTCTTGAAATGCTGTTCACAGAGTTTGTGACATACAGTGAGACCCCCACATGCAGACACCGTTGACATGCAGACAATTTGACATATGAACACTTGTTTTCCCATAAAAAAATTAATAAACCTGCATATATATTCAAGAGCTTCCTTTTCTGGCCTTATCTAGATGTTTACCCATGCTTTAAACACTGTGAACACATAAATTCAACAGTCAATGACGATAAACAGCATTTTAAGAAACAGATATTTCCAACCCTAAAATTGATGTAAGAAAAGTTCTTGGGGATTTCTCTCACCAATTAACTATACATTTAGCTGATTTTAAAAAATTACTTCCAGCATAGCAGGTCTTCCTTCTCTCTTTTTTGCTTGAATGTTATTTTTACAGAGAATGCCAACATTACTATGTACTGTACAGAGGTATTGGTATTCAATTCCCTAAATTTCCACATTGTGTTGAAATAGTTTGATTGAATCAGTTTAAATTGGGAGACAATTTTTATTTTCATGGAAGTATGGTGAGTATTTTGTCCATAAAACACCAACTAAAAATTATATAATGCAAGTCTAAGGGAAAATTAGACTCAACTCAGGGACATTTCAACTTAGGGACACTCTTGATGGACCAATTTTGTCCACATCTCAGGGTATCACTGTAATAGTATTTTTTTAACCAAAACTCATGCCAAATGGTGTTTGGAATTCGTTAGAAACGCTTTACTGATGCTTAACAACTGTAGTAAGCTTTTTTGGAACATCTCACCTTACATTATCTGTGCTTAGAATTGTTTAGAAAATCTCAAAGTCCACAAAAAGTACTAGTCTTTACTACTTATGCAAAGTAAATGCTGTTTATCGTCATTGACTGTTGAATTTATGTGTTCACAGTGTTTAAAGCATGGGTAAACATCTAGATAAGGCCAGAAAAGGAAGCTCTTGAATATATATGCAGGTTTATTATTTTGTTTATTTTACCAGCCAATGATTTCGAAAATCTCATTACATCAAATTTCCTCTGAAGTCCCCACATGTTTATCGTTACAGTATTTTTTGAATAAGTTCGTCATTTCGCTTCATCTTTCACGTATTTACAGGTGGTTCTGATCGGAAACTTGGACTACTCTGATCCGGAAGTTCAGGGTGAAGTGGAGAGAATCACGAGTTTGATAGAAGGGAGCAACCCGAACATTGCCGACGATTTGTACACGGATTCCTGGCTGAGGGCATTCTTGCAATTCCTTGAACGCGACGGGGCAGACAAAGATTTCAACGTTCACGGCATAAAAAATTTCACTCACGTTTTGCAAAAGGTAAACATTTGCTCTTCTTACCAACTTTTCAGGCCCTGAATGGATGCTTTTGATTTTTAGCCAGCCAAACATCAATTATACTTCACACGTGGACTTGCATGTCTCTATATATACAACAATCTTGTCTAAAACAATTTTCTCTGTACAGTGTACAACGAACTTTTTCTGATCCCGTTATATTATGGCGCAGGGTTCTTTTCCCACGCTGCAATAGGGACATTCTCTCTGAAATGAATTTTTTTGGGTCCCTTGAATTTCTTTGCATATATTGTACGGTCGAACCCCGTTAATAGTCGAACCCCGTTAATACGCCCCCAATAAAGTGCCACCCTCAGCAACTGCCAAAAATTTTGAATGAAACAAATCTCCTCTCTGTGTTAAAGTCTATGGAAAACTTTGATAAGACGCCAACTGCCATCCACCAGCATTATTGATGAAACAAAAGTGCTGTTTCCAATTACTTTTGTCTTTGTTACAACGCCAACATTGGGGTAGAATTATAATTTCTGCCAAGGATCTTGTATTTGTACGAAAAATAATAATAATGATCATTTGGTTGTAAATTATATTGACCTAATCTTAAAATTTGAATACAGTAAATTGATGCAGCAAAATTTATTTTCTGAAAGAGTAATCCATTGATCACAGCAATACTCTTTGGAAAATTACTGAAGTTTCCTATATAACCTGTCTCTCTATATGACTTTTGGAGGAAAATCAAGTATTTTTGATCAAATAATTAAAATTAAATATTTGATAAACCGCCAACCTCTTTAAACCGCCAAAATTGCTCTGGACAAATGGTGGCGTCTTATTGGGGTTTGACTGTACTGTATAGAGACAGTCCACCTGCTGCATGATGATCTGGCCAACAGATTGAATGGTCACAAATTAATTAATGTGGATGTTTTTTGTTTTTTGTTTGTGGCTCAAAAACAAATCAGGAGTACCTCGCCAGCGACCCTACGAACGTGTTTTCTCGAGACATTTCGTACGATGACGACGGCAACATCCAGGCTTCAAGATTCGTGTTTCAAGTGCAGAATTTGAAAACGATCGACGATTTCCGGTTCATCATGATGTCCTTCAGGCATTTATTCTCGACCGAGCTGAAGGACTATAACATAACGTCCTACCATCCATTGTATCGTCTCGGAGAACAGGCGAGTATTATTGGCTTCCTTCTATTCTCTTTTTGGCAGTCCTAAGACGAGACATGGAAAGAAAAAGGGGGAAAATACGGATTGTCATTTCAATTTTTTGGACTACACATGATCACCTGAAGCAAATGGGTACACCGTACAAAAAGTACATACACGGGATAGAACAAAAGAGGAATACATACAAATCTTCGAACAATTTCAAATGCCGAAAATTTTGACGCATGAAATTCATGAATGCCAACTGATGAACGCTGATAAAAACTGTTTCGAAAAGTCTCATTTCTTCTGTGGGACCGTAACTCTTGAGTAATTCAAGTATATGACCATGCAGCGAATAAAAAATTAATCTTCAGAATAATGTAAATGTACGTAACACAGTGAGAGCTCTTTAACTTGAACCAATAAGTCAGAAACGCCTTGAACTCGAAATGTTGTACCTGTTCAAAGTCCCATTAAAACAATGTTAAACTGAAACTCCTTAACTCAAAATGTTTCAACTGCGAACTTCCTTCACGTACAATTTTTGAAGACAACGAACGCAGGAAAATCAAACGATAATGCTTTGAATTTTGAAGATGAGAAACTTCAATTGGTCCATGAAATCTTGGCTGGTGGTTCTGCAGCATCCTACCATAGACTTATTTATAATGCAGTTTCCCGTGGTACCACAGGAAACTGCATTTATAAATATTGAGAAGACATTATAAATAAGTCTATGGTAGGATGCTGCAGAGCCACTAACCAAGATTTCATGGACCAATTGAACCTCTCTTTTAGTCTTAGTAGTCTTTAATTTGTCATGGTAAATCAGATGTTCTCTTTAACCTAGCAGACGACGCTCCGAGCAGCCGCGTCGTCTCTCGCCGCGTCACGCCTTGCTGCGTGCCGCCTTGCCGAGTCACGCGCCGAGGGTTACGCAACCCTCTCTCGAATGAGGTCAGATCCGGGTCTGACCATGTTTGCGAAATACTGGCCGTCCGAATCTATATATTCGTTTGCTTTTACTTTGTCGCGCGCTCATTGCTGTTCAGACGCTTGTCCTAAACGTACTTGCTGTTGAATACGAAATAAAGCTGTAATACATTTTGTACTTGAGGAGTTTATTGAATTACCGAACCCGGCAACAGGAATAAGAAAATCTCCTCACAATAAATTGTCTGAGTTGGTTAAGTTAAGGCTTGTGACGGTAAGTCATACAATCAAAGTTTTAGAGACGTTTAAGCTGAGAGATTGTAAACCATCAATTTAACTAATTTAGACAACAGATTTGGCGCAGCCGGATTTTCCTTTTTTGTCCCGGGTGAGTACACTTAGCAGTAAAGCAACGCCTGTTCGAAGAAAACAGAGCTCAAGTGAAAAAGTTTGCGACTCAGAAGTGACTCAGAAGAGCAAAAATCCGAGAACAAGTCCCGGTGACGTGTTCTTTTAGATTTTGACTAAGTGCTCTAGGTAAATTCAAAAGTGCAGTGAATATTTTGCCAGCATGAATACGAGTGTTAGAGTATCGGCACTGGATATCTCGAAGGTTATGGACACGACGGAAGAACTAAATCGTCGGTTTATCAACTTGCCCCCTAAAGAACAAGCTGAAGTGGCTAAACGCCGTCAGCGCGAGTGCGAAGAAGAAATAGCAAAATTAGAAGCTGAATTAACGAACGCTGCCAAACCTCCCTCTGCCGAAAGGCGAACAGCTGTAAATGCTCGTT